TTCTCCCCGCGGGTATCGTGAGAACCGCTGTCGCAAATGAAGGATTATGATCCAGTAACGAACTGGAACTTTAATCTGGTACGAGCGGAGCTTGAGACAGGCTTTAATTAGGGGTCCCGCTATAATTAATCCCCCTAGGGCGATTGTAATTCTAAAATGTGCCCGACGAGAATATTTTTCTCGTTGTATAATGCGCATGAGTCACTTCTCCACGCAGCTTCATCGGAGTGTAAGGGCGACCGTAAGACTCGCCTCTGCACCCTTTCATCTCCAATAAATGACGCGTCAATGTGAAGGTCGTTTAAAGCTTCTCCCATAGACGTAACGTCCGATTTGCGTGCGCCGTCTCCAAGATCTCCTGAGGACCTGTGTCCACGATGTTAGAGCTTGGTCCAAGTTCTAGTTCCTTTTATATAGCTTTTTATGGAATAGCTGCAAGTTGATTGGCTACACATTTCTCGGAACTAGAATTTGAACCAAGTTCTAGCGTCGTGGACATAGGCCTTAACCATTTGAAGCATACATTTTTCTATTGAACCATTTTTTTGTGAAACTTTCTATACGAACGACGCGAACGTGATGAGTCCCGAAATACCGTAATCAAACGAAAATGTTGAAAAACTTGAAAACTTAAAAAATTCACGTACTTTGCATCCGCCATTTTGAGTCGGCCATTTTTTATTCTGAAAATCTGACATCAGATTCATAATGAGCGACCCCGAAAACCCCTATGTACATGCAAAGTTTTCAAGAAATAATCTTAAAAAACTTGGTCGATAATGAATTTTTACGAAAAAAATCGCTGTTTTTTTCATATTTGTCTATTTATAAAACTTTTACAATAAATATTAAAGACTACTCAACTTTTTTTATGTTCTTTTATTGCTAAGATACCCCAAAAATGCAAAAAACCCGACCTGAATGCGTTAACTAGAAATTGAATGGTCAAAAAGTAAACAAGTTGAGGTGGTAACGTGGGTTACCACTATGCTTCAAAGGGTTAAGAGACTTTTGAAGAGTAAAAGGTTCAGTAACGTTTAGAGCAATAACCGTTTCGCGAATGATTCTCGTCGAAATTTTCATGCTCCGAGATTTAATCTCCAATAATTGGCGAGATTTAACGACAGGTAAGCCTCGATCATTAATCTTCGGGGTGGTAGGGTGGACTATTATACGACTCCGTACGCGATAATCAAATCAATCACTGTCCGACTTTTTCACAAAGGCCCTTATTTAGAACGCTCCGACGTATCTACGCTTAATACCTTCTAAAGGCGTGTACAATGTGCACGGCCGTTGTAAAAGCTAGAAGATAATAATAACCGTTGTCTCTCTCTCTCTTTCTCGTGTGCAGACGCGTGTGCATGCGACACGCGGAAAATTGCCTCACATTGTGCGATACGAAACCGGACAATAGCGCGATGTACAGAAACATATCGAAGGGACATATCGAAAGTGTCTGAAATATTATTTACCTATTGCACGGTCGTATACACAGATCTTGCTGGTGGTGGGGTCTTATCTCACTTATTGAAGCACGCTATTATCAGTCAGCTCTACTAGAGACCCCCAAGGGAGAGTCTGAAAAACGTTCGCCATTATGCGTCAAATCCAGTAACTTTTAGTTCAGTTTTAATTTTTTTTTACTATCTACACGAGTTATTTCCCACGAATCACCTGAAAACTATGTCTATAAACATACAAATTTTATTAAATGTTTTACTCTCTTAGTAAAAACGATACATACATGTTTTTTTTCTTACTTCACATATGTATGAAATATTATTTAGTATCCAATTGACCCTTGAAATGCATTTTACCCATAGAGCTGTTCTTGTATTTTTTGGACACACTGTGCTCGAGTGTATTAACTTGTGTCGATTTGTGTCTCCTAAAAGGAAAGCAGCCGATGTTTAGTCGAGTGTTGCCGAGCAGCACATATAGGTTGACGTCTTCTTCTTCTTATTGTATTGTGATACGGAGCTGATTCTCTAGTCGAGTCCAAGCCGTCCAAGGCAACGGACGACAACGATAGATGATGACGATGAACAATTATGGACAACTTCAAGATTATCAGCCATATTAGCCCCACTAGATTAGTAGGTAACGACACGTGGTGGCGATGTCATAAATTAAAAATTGCTTCGATAAGTGAGCTACTCCTACCAATGAAATCCTCCTGAGTTGCAAGACCTGTGTATACGACCGTGGCCTATTGACGTTCTCCTAGCGTTCCTCGGACTTCTGCTCACTGGTTCGAATGTCAATTTATAGAAATTACAAGCTCGTAATATTTGCGGAATGTTCGACGCACGACGCGACTTGTGATTTATAGGCACGACGTAGCTTATGAATTATATTTCCCGCCGAAATTGGCTCACCGATATTAATTAAGGAAATTAAGGCGTGGCTGCAATAAATTAAAATCCGTATCACCGGTCTGAAAAATGTGGTTGATGAAACCAGGCCCGGTAATTGGTTCTTTTATAATTAGATTTATTTAATTACCTCCGAGTTGTTTATTAAGCCGGGTTTATTCCGTCTTGCCGTTGCTCATTTTAGCTTACACATGACGTCTATCATTCAAACCGGGTCACGTAAAAATTGCAGTGAACGTTAACGCGCGTTGAAAATTTTATTAAATTGTACCAAATAAATACGTGTTATTATCGACTTCGACCTCGCATAACGATATCATTGCGGTTTTTATCAAAATGCTGAACAACTCGGAATAGCACTTGCTTGATTTGTCGAAATTACACATTTTGAGGGCTAAATGTGTTTCCGTTGTCAACAAAAATATATCTTCGCCGTTTCTTCTTCGTTTTGCATGATATCTGACTGATTTAACGAGTACACTTTTTAATAGACATGCTCGGATCCTTCGTTAATTCATTGGAGTCTGCCATTACTTCGACGCAGTCCGGTGTACATGGCCTTTTTTTCGCTATCAAAGAATCAACGGCGTAGACGTGATCTAACGGAGGCCCCTTCCGATCGAAAAAACTCGCTAAACTTGTCTCTGCGTCACAATGCCTCGTTTATATACATATATCTACGATCCTGTCATCAAAATTTACTCGTGCAGCGTATCGTTCTAACTGTATAAAACTGGTTGGGGAGTTTAAATGGCTCTTCATTATTATGTACAGGTGGCTTAAGAGGAAAGGCGATAATCTCTCCGAGATATCTGCTATTCATTGGCATAAACTAGATAAACGTGCACCTGCGGGGTGCATTAAAGTCCACACCCTCCACCCCGCTTCCACGCACGCATGCACGAGAGTGTAAGTTCGCAGTAGAGGAAAAAGGGGACAGTCTTAAAGGCCTGCGTCCACGGTGCTAGGACTCGGTCCAAGTTCTAGTTTCGAGCAATGTCGCCAATCAACTTGCGGCTATTTCCATAAAAGTTGCAAGTTGATTGGCTACGCATTTCTCGGGACTAGGACCTGGACCAAGTTGTAGCATTGTGGACACAGGCCTAAGAGTGAGGTGACGAGCGTACGTCAAGATTGGCAAACTTAATTTTTGCCACTTTTTTGCCACCCACCCTTTAATTAGCATCTTTCCGAGTCTTCAGCCGGGTCGGCTCGCTTTGTGGAAGATATTTGCGCCCGCCTACGCGACCCTTGTGTTTCGTGCCCCGAGCCATTCAGCGAGCAAATCATGAGCTCGCAGTGGCGCGCGTGGCAGAACAAACATTACAACCCCCTTACAGAAGCCACCTACGAGGCGCTCGCTCGCTCGCGCGCGCGTGCCACGGCACTCACCCCCTTTCCCTCCCTCGTGCTGGCGGTTAAAATGTAGCACGGTAATCTGAGAGGCATGGGGGTGCGACTGGGGCTGCTTTAACTTAATAGGGTACCCGGGTGTATTTTTATCCATTCGCGAATATTAAACACGGGCGACAAAAAACGTTTTATGGAGGGTAAAAACATTCCAGTGGATTATGCAAATTCGACGAAGACGTAAGAAGAGGGACGACGGCACGCGTAATATTTACACGTGTGGCCTGTTTTTCCTTCGCCTTCTTCAAAATGAAGGTCCGCGAATAGCAATAGTTTACAATAATGATAATAGATATCTTTATTTCAGCGTTTTACGTGCCAAGAAGGGACTTGGCTTACAATTTGCTCTTATCTTTATTATACTCTTTATTATGCTTTAACTTCATTATACTCTTCCCTCTCAGTTTACGTTAATAATGAATTGAGGGAAAAGCGAGTTAAGGGTGTCGGAAGAAGTCGAGAAATTACCCAAACAACACGTGTGTCTAAAAGACATCTTTAAAGGCCTGTGTCCAGTGTGTGTAAATGTAGAGCCAATCGACTTGCAGCTATTCCATAAAAGCACATTTCTCGAAACTAGAACTTGGACCAAGTTTCAGGCTGCGTTCCGGTATTCACTGGCGGTGTCCTGAAAATCTATAGGTATAGTTTACGTCACGGATACTATGCATTTTCAGTGCCGGCAGTGAATATCGGAACGCAGCTTTAGCATCGTGGCCACAGGTCTTAAGGCGTCTCTTAGACACGCGCGCTGTACGGGTAGATTGTCCATACCGTCTTACATTCTCGAAATTGGATAATACAGAGAAATAAATTTGTTCGAGCTTAAGTACTGTAAAATGCCTCGATTCAGTATTACAATTTATTGTACAATAAATGTCAACGTTAAAGAGGAAAATACCGTCGCGGTCGGGACGAGGCGGGACGAGCGCCAATTAGCCCCCCTGGCTGATAACGACAGAAATTTCAAGCCTCTCGATCGTCGCGGGGGAAAGGCGTCTCTCTCTCTCAGAAGGAAGTATCGATATTCGCGTCGGTTCGATACCGAAGGGGTAGGAAAGTAGCGGTACCCTACTAAACTCAAGCACCCCTACCCCAGACGCGCGTTCCCGACGGCGACGACGGGCGAAGCAGTACGCAGGCGCCCGCGGTGTAACATCGTCAGCACTCGCCGCGACTCGGGGGTGTTGCAACGGGGGTGGCGAAGCCGAACGTCCGAACTCGGCGGACGGCGGACGGCAAGGCAGTGCAGGGCGGCTCGTAAACTCGTATACGTGGTGCGCGCGGGTGCACACGCGCTATAATGTCCGCCTACGTGGCCGCCGAGGTTCCCGCGGGTCGCGGATCGTCCAGCGGCTGGCCGACGTAGTGACGTAGAGTGCCGTCGCGAGTTCCATCGTCGTGGTCCCCGCTCGCGCTCGCCGCGCGTCTCGCTCCCTTTCCTCCGCGCGAAAGGGAAAGGATCCCGTCTCGCGACCGAGGAGGACGTGTCCTCGGCCACCCTTTGGCATCCCCTCGCTCGGTCTCCCCCGCCCCCTCTCCCCGGCGCTCTCCTTCCGTTCGCCGTCGAGAAGAGGTAAGCCCCGCCGACGTTCGTATCCTCCGAGCGTGGAGACGATCGATCGTAAAAATCCACATATACCAACACCGTGCCCGCTCCGTCCTCTCCCCCGCGGACCTCACGCCCCTTCCGGACCTTTCTACGGCGAGCTACCACTCGGATACGCCGTCGTATCGATCACGCCGCTGCCGCGATTATGTTTTGCACGTCGATTACACGGGGCCCCGCGTCGCTGGAAGGGACGTCTTTTCCGGAGACCCGCCGACGTATGGTTGATCCCGTCCCTTGGATTCCCTCAAGGCCCTCGCGGGCCGCGGCCTTTTGGGCGGCCCTCCGCGTGTCTCACCCTCGAGAAATGGCAGGCGCTGCCAGACCCGAGTTCGAAGCTCCTCTCTCTTTGGCTCTTTTTTTCTCTCGGTACTCTCAGCACGCGTTGTCTGCCCAGCGAGTGTGCACGTCTTATCGTGTGTGTTTGTGTGTGTGCACGCGCGTGTCTACCACAATACAATTTTCATATAAATGTACAGCGATATGAAATATTGCGTAATATGAATAATGAAGATAAAAATTATACTATTGTCGAGCAGCAAGCTGTTTTTTTATCTTACGTTGTCGTCCAGCTATTTACGACTTTCAAAATTTTAGTAAACGTTTATCTTTTACGAGCGTTTTAAAGATTTCCAATAGCATCGTTCAACAGTGGCCATCGTGGCAGTTAACGTGTTGTCTATGTATTAATTTGAGAGGAATGCGTTCTGCAATACGTATTTAACAAATTATCCGTAGAGGAGAGTCCCTTATTACGAGATAGGCTCCTAATATGAGATAACGGGATTTCTGCTAAAATAATAAGCCTCATCTGTTGGTTCCGCCATGACTTTATTGCCTTCAGAGTGAAATCTGTTTCGTGGGGAATTCATCGACAGACCGTGCGTGTAATTGTTGCGAAGGAGACTCGTGAAATTGGATGTTGCAAACCCTCTATCTTCTATTGGGAGCCTGTCTCATAATTGGGGACTTTCCTCCACCCATACATTTTCCGCATTTATTTATTTATTTTGCGCGACACACATTACTTTTTCATTTCCTATCAACAGCGACTAATCGAGATGTCCGTCTCGAGGACAGATCTTCCCTTGTCTCGTTAGCCTTCCTAATTTTCCCGTTCTTTCGTTCGCCACTATTCTTCCCTCTTTTTTTTCCTCCCCGTTATCCCATTGTCCGTTACTCATGAATAATCTCCTTGACGGATCTCAATTTAAGTCGAGATTAAAAATGCGTGACCTCCCGGACAATAATGAATACTTATTGAGAAGCAAATGCAATTCTCCTCTCTGCTCGCCGAAGAAACGGGCGGGGGTAAATTTAATTAGGTGGTGTCCCTCCCTGTGAATCGCGCAAGTACCGCATATTGAGAAGCTCCTCCGTCTCGACCGGACTCTATTACGCATTCACGTGAATTTTTACGTAAGACCCGTACGCTGCGCATTTCCGTGCCTCCGGATCCAATTCTTTAAAGCTTTCCGCGTACGCGTTGATAATTAATTGTCATCCGTCGACTCGCGAATAGGAACGATACGCCTTCTACAAAGGAGACACGAAACATGAAGGACTTTTAAGTGACCAAATTTAAATGATACGCATCAAAATGAAATTTCTTTTCCCACTTTAGCGAATTATTATTGATATGCGATAGCACGTAAATTAATATATGTATACTAACATACTATATTATAATAGTTATACCGAGGGGGAAACCGCAGAGGGCATTGTGGTGTACAGATTTGCGACATTACTGGGCATCACTAGGCATTACTAGGCATTTTTTGTACATTAGTTTGGGCATTAGTTCTTGCTGGGGCATTATAAAGATAAAACAAGATAAATAAGATTAAATAAGATAATAAGATAAAGTAATGCCCACTGGGCATTAGTGGGCATTGGTGTACAAGATTTTGGTCAGCGGTTTCCCCCTTGAGTTATACTATATTATTATATCCAGTCAGCAAAATGTTAGCAGATTGTCGGCAGAAATCGAACAGGTCCAGTTATGTGAACAGATTTTGTTGCATTTCTGCTGACAACATGTCGAATATATCAGTTCCTGCATGCAATCCTCAGTCTTTCTGCCTTCGAAATTTGTGGTGGGCATTTGGCGAAATCTGTTCTGGCAGATTTGGCTATCTGGGATAGTTAACTGAATATATTATAATATATAACATTGTAATATAGTGTATTAGATAATATACCAACATGTTTGTGTAATGCCACGTATGAATATTCTAACGCTTTCGTATATAACATAATTAATACGTCATATTTATCTCAATTACCGACCTATCCGTACGCGCGCACAATTTTCTGATGGTAATGCATAAATGTATTACTTACCTCACGCATTCCTCACATCGGCGTGTAATGACGTCAGTACGTACGTTCGTAATACGACATCCATCATTTGCATTAACAATATTGATTCGTGAATATTTATAGAAAATTAAATCGTCGAATAAAAAAAAAGAGAGAGAGAGAGAGAGAGAGAGAGAGAGTTTTTCTCTCACAGGCGTGTTCGATTTTTCATACGTCAAATGATATTTTTCCCGATATAACTCGATATCGTCGGATTCGATTGGAAGGATAATCGAATATCTCTGGAAAAAAAAACTGATTCCCTTTTTCTCGTCGACGAATTCATTTATTTTATTCGATACAAACGCTCGCCGCGCAGTCGAGATGAATATCTCGTCTCTCGCAGAAATACGACTTCCCCGGTTTCCCACAAATATAGATCGGTCACGGTACTAATTAATCATTCTCCCATATTCGATAATCCACGTATTTCGGGACGGATCAATGGCCCGCACTATTCTTCGACGACGCTTGTAAATATGTAAGTGTCGTTATCACATTCGGTCGATTATTGCTCGAACAGTTTCCACTCGATCTCGAGGAAGTCTTGTCTAACGACATTAAACAGCGCATTTGCATAAATTTGGATTGTGCAAAACATAATTCAAACTTAATAAAAAAACACAGGTAAATCATATATCAATGTAGAAAAATTGCCAAACGACGCCAACTGGCAAATTCTAATCAAAGAAATTTATTGCGAAAAACATTACCTCGGCCAGGGTTTGAACCAGGACTTCCCTACGTTCCAGGTGGGCGTCTCACCTCACATGCCTCAGTGGTCGAATTGGTGAGACGCAATTTTTCTACATTGGTTAATCATGTACTGGCGTCAAATAATTCTTTACGTGAATCATACATGTTTCTTAAAAATTAGTCTAATGTAAAGTGACTTGTTCGGTTTCAGTAGTTCGTGTCAACGAGTAACGATCCCCGCGTGAAAAATATTCCACGAAAAACATATGCTATTTATTTTTAATTTAATAGAAGCATTAAATTTAATAATCCTTACGCGATCCGTGAGAATTAGTCCGATGCAAAGTGACCGATCTAGTTTCAGTGATTCGTGTCAACGACTGACGATACTCTCACGAAAAATATTTCGCGCACGACAAAATACACCGTGTATTTTAAATTTAATCAAAGTACATGTTAATCTTGTATCATCCTTAAAAATGACCCCGCGAACTTATATGATCCTTAAAAGTGAGTCTGTTGTAAAGTAACCCAACAATAAGTGGTTTCAGTGGTTCGTGTCAACGATTAACGATCCATGCGTGACAAATATTCTGCGCGCGACAAAAAATATACTGTGCATTTTAAATTCACAATAAAACCATGTATATATATCTTACATGATCTTTAAAAGTTAGTCTGACAAAGTGACCGATCTAATTTCGGTGGTTCATGTCAACGATATATTTCATGATCTTTTATTTCATTCAATGATCCATCTGGCTTCAGTGGTTTATGTCAACGATTAACGATCCCTGCGTGAAAAAAGTATGCATTTTAAATTTGATACACGGAGAGAATTTTCTCTTAAAATTTATCCTGAATATCACGTAGTCGTGGAACAACACAGCATTTTGAGGAGTTTTATGAGAGTATTTTGAAAGTTTATCATAGATTTTACAACGATACTTTCGTGAAAGATATTCTTGTTAACGAATACACGCATTTTTGTTAAATTTTTGAAATGCATAGTGTATTCGTACAATTCTTAAAAATAAGTATAACGTAAAATGATCCATCTGGTTTCAGTGATTAGTGTCAATGATTAACAATCCCTGTAAAATACCTGAAAAATATTCCGTGTACGAAAAAGAAAGTACACCGTGCATTTTAAATTTACTAAAACCACATGTAAATCTTAAATAATCCTTACAAATAAGTCTGACGTAAAATGATCCATCTGGTTTCAGTGGTTTATGTCAACGATCCCTGCGTGAAAAAGTATGCATTTTAAATTTGATACATGGAGAGAATTTTCTCTTAAAAATTATCCTGAAAATCATGTAATCGCGGAGCAACATGGCATTTTGAAGAATTTTATGAGAGTTTTTTGAAAGTTTATCATACATTTTACTAGTAATTATACTTAGTATTCGTTTTACTAGTAAAATGTATGGTAAAATTTCCAAAAATTCTCATAAAGTGGTTCAAAATACCATATGTTGTCCCACGATTACATGATTTCCAGGGTACATTTTAAAAGAAAATTCTCTTTGTTATAAAAACATGTGAATCTTATATAATCCTTAAAAATAAGTCTGATATAAGATGATCCATCTAATTTCAGTGGTTCAACGACTAACTGTATCCGCGCGAAGAATATTCCACGCGCGAATGCATCGCGCAAACTGCGCGCTACTTTTTCGTTCTTTTCTTATTCACCGCCGTGGAAAGGTGTGTTATCGGAATAGTATATTAATAACTGAGATATATTCTTAGATATAACGACTATAGAGCGGTTTCCTAGCAGGTTTTTTTTCACCGAGCACATGAAATGAGCGACACTAAACACAAAACCAATTAATCCGGTAGCGACAAAATTAACGGAACGCTATTTCTTTACAGAGAGACGAACGAGAGGGAATATCGCCGTCAGCACCGCCGCTGGCTTGATCCGACGTTAAGTTAAAAAGGGAAGAAGAGAAAAGAATACAGGGAAAATGTCGTCGGTTAAGGTGGCGGTGAGGGTACGGCCCTTCAACTATCGCGAGATCAGTCGTGAGGCACAATGTATCATAGAAATGACGGGGAGTACTACTTGTAAGTAATACTTGTATCTCGCAGCTTTAGAGGTCGAGCGACTCGTAAAATAATTACTACTATAAAACAACTATCGGACGTTTGAGCCTGTACTTTTGCTGTTATAGCCATAGTGAATCCGAAAGCTACGCAAGGAAGCAAAGAAGCGGTCAAGAGCTTCAACTATGACTATTCCTACTTTTCTATGGACGTAAGTGAATTTTGTCAATACAGGAGTTACCGATACTGTTATATTTAATTGGTGCTTAATTTAAAAAATAATTTTTTAATTGTTGCAGCCAAATGACGAGAACTACTCGACTCAGCTCATGGTTTACAAGGACATCGGTGAAGAAATGTTGGAACACGCTTTCGAAGGTAGACATTAGTTAACAGATGGTAGCGTCTCCTCTAACAATTCGTTAAAAAACATATTGAAAAAACTTGTGCTCTTTTGATATGAAAGTTGCAATTGTTTTAGGTCAGAAATAATTATAAATAATTACCCGTTAGTAATGATTGACACCAACTTATTCTCACATACATTTATGTAAATCGTCATTATTCAAAGTAAACTTATGTAATTCGTTATTTTTCTAAGTAAAATTTCATTTGATTTGCACTGACTTCGCTACTGGACATGATATAACTGTTTATTCTATTTCGTGATGCAGGCTATAACGTTTGCATTTTTGCATACGGCCAAACTGGCGCCGGTAAATCTTACACCATGATGGGCAAGCAGGAAGAAGGGCAGGAAGGAATAATACCACAGATCTGCAAGGATCTGTTTAGAAAAATCAGCTATACGTCTAATGAGCGATTAAAGTATTCGGTAGAAGTGAGTTATATGGAAATCTATTGCGAGAGGGTGCGCGATCTGTTGAATCCGAAAAACAGGGGAAATCTTCGAGTGAGGGAACACCCTCTCTACGGACCCTACGTCGAGGATCTTTCCAAGCTGGCAGTATTGTCCTACGAAGACATTCACGATCTCATAGATGAGGGCAACAAGGCCAGGTTGGTTTACGCGCAGTAGCGTTTCGAGCGCGGTGACTGTTTGAAAAAAGAAAACGTTCTCATACCGCGCTACACAATACACGTTGTTGGAAATATATTCCAGGACTGTCGCAGCAACCAACATGAACGAAACGTCTAGCAGATCGCACGCAGTTTTCACGATATTCTTTACACAGCAGCAACAGGACAGTGCCACTGGTTTGATGACGGAAAAAGTTAGCAAAATATCACTGGTCGATCTGGCCGGATCCGAGAGAGCTGATTCGACGGGCGCGAAAGGGACACGATTGAAAGAAGGAGCCAATATTAATAAGAGTTTGACGACTCTCGGGAAGGTTATCAGTGCCCTGGCCGAAATTGTAAGTATCGCACTTTGCTTTAAGTCTGCGAGGTACATTAAATACTGAATTTATCTTTCACGTTGTTATTCACGTTGTATTCTACTTGTTTGCCGCTCTGGACTGTTCAGGCGGTAAGTTCGTCGAAACTAATATTATAATTTAAAGAATAATTGATTACAATATTGCGCGTTTAAATAATATATCTAACTATTTAATTGTAGTGTTTAACTGTGTAATAAATAATCGTTCTCTAGAAATCTTTGTTTCTCCGTAGGCGACGAAAAAGAAGAAGAAAGCCGATTTTATACCGTACAGAGACTCCGTTTTAACATGGTTGTTGCGCGAGAACTTGGGCGGAAATTCAAAAACTGCTATGATCGCGGCAGTTAGTCCTGCCGATATCAATTACGATGAGACGCTTTCAACCTTACGGTAAGATTTATCACTCGCTATACATTTTTCGAACCTAAGTCCCAACGTTTGAATTAATTAATAAGCGTTTAATTGATCAGATTTAAAAGACTAACGTTTTATTCGCAGATACGCGGACAGAGCGAAACAGATCGTCTGCAAAGCCGTGGTCAACGAGGACGCAAATGCCAGACTTATCAGAGAACTCAAGGAGGAGATACAGAAACTGCGGGAGCTTCTGAAGCAGGAGGGCATCGACGTACAAGAAGGTAAATTAAGGACGTTAAGTTTTCGAGAATTATTAGAAATCGTTATATAAAATCGGATTAGAGGACTTTTTATCATAGAAAGCACATGCGGACGAAGACAGACTGAATATAATGCTAGATTAAATAATGACTAAATATAACTCCCCAAAAACCAAAATCGTCTAATTAAATTCCACGGAATATGTAGAATATTTAATCGTGTTATAATATCGTAATAACAAATAGAATATTTAATCGTCTTGTAATACCGTAACTCACTTCGTCTATTACGTCAGTTGCCGAGTTACTACAATATTAGTACAATAGTAATAATTGTATAGATTATAATAGAGATTATTCAGAGGGAATCACAACGCACGTAATCACAAACGTGAACTCTTGGCTGCTATAAACTAATTGCACAGCGCGCGACAGGCAATCCATTCACATAGTATTCTTCTCTTTGTTCCCCTTGCGCTCGACGTAGGGCCAGATGGCAAAGTTACATACGAAAAGAGAGATAGTAAGTAAAAAAAAACGCTAACAATTCATTGCAAGCAAAGAATACAGCCGAGACAGGCATCTCTTGCGCCTCTTTCGTAGACATTTTATTGTGTTTCTTTCGTTTATGCGCTCTTATTTCACCGCTAAGCGCATAATACTTGTCAGTGGTACTGTATATGTCGATCTCCTCTTAATTTCTATACGTTTGCTTCGCGAGTTTCCGTTTCATCATTTATTGTATGTATTTGTCCTGTTAATGCCTATCGATTGCGCTCCCTTCTTCTCTCACGTCCGATGAAATTAGCAACTCTTCTGACAATCTCCATGACTCAAGTAAACCTAAATTAATGATTGATTACGCCTCCCTTTGTAAACGCAAGAATGTCGAAAGAGTATCTCGAAAGTTTTTACAACGTTACGTTTATGGAAAAGAGAAAGTATGACAATAAGGATGCCAAGTCAATCAAGCTCGCAATTGAAAAATGCATATATATCAGACATGCGATTAGATCATGCTTGTACTCATCAGATCATGCCGGTGCTCTGTAAAAAAAAAAAGTATCAGCCTATCTAGTTACGTTTCTACGTTTTTAGAATGAGTAGCAACAGTACAAACTCTACTAGCTTCTGGAATACTTCTCTTCATCTACGCCACCGCTTTAATTATGGCTTTCGATGTGTATACGACTCACGATACCGACTCTGACATGCAGGCTTGCCATTTTAAATATCGCGACCGCGCTTTCCCAACTCTTGACGGGCTTCATTTTGCAGGGGACGAAATTATCAGGACGAACAAGCGAAACGAGGAGGACACCAAGGAGACACGACCGAGGATTTCTTCGCACACCACATCCACTATTGCCGAAGAGGCGGTCGAACAATTGCAGGCGTCCGAGAAATTAATCGCGGGTACGTATAATCTCGCGACCTGGGATTATTTTGATATAGCCTTTGCTATTCTTACCTCGTTGATCAATTATGAATACGCAATGCAGAAATTAACTAGCGTCCGCGTAGTACCGTCTTTATTTCAATCTATTTATGTTTTTAGAATTGAACGAAACTTGGGAGGAGAAGCTGAAGCGAACCGAATCGATCCGCCTGCAGCGCGAGGCGGTGTTCGCCGAAATGGGGGTCGCCGTGAAAGAGGATGGCGTCACGGTCGGTGTTTTCTCTCCTAAGAAGACACCACACTTGGTAAATCTGAACGAGGACCCTCTCATGTCGGAGTGTCTCATCTACTACATCAAGGACGGACTCACGCGCATCGGCAGCGCCGAAGCGCAGGTGCCCCAGGATATCCAGCTGTGTGGCCCGCACATACTCAGGGAGCACTGCGTCTTCGAGAATCACGAGGGAATTATAACTCTTATACCGAAAAACGGCGCCTTGATTTACGTCAATGGTCGCGAGGTAACCGAGGCACTTATCCTAACGACCGGCTCCCGTGTCATCCTGGGGAAAAGCCACGTTTTCCGATTTAACCACCCAGACCAAGGTGTGCAGTGTTCGGATTTATTTGTCAATTTATTTACAGACTTACTAAATATATGAACAAAATATTGTATTTCTATGTTTAATCATACAGTGCGCGAACGGATAGCGAACGGATCCCCGGCGGAAACTCCCGGCAATAACGAACCGTTAGCGGACTGGAATTTCGCGCAGGTCGAGCTATTAGAGAAACAGGGTATCGATCTAAAGGCTGAAATGGATAAGAGACTGCTCGTACTAGAGGAACAGTTCCGTAAAGAGAAGGAGGAAGCTGATCAACTGTTCGAAGAGCAGCGAAAGGTATGTATTGTGTAATACGAATGCACACCTCATCTTATTTCATCATTTAATTCTAATGATTGATTGTTTTTGCGACTAGAGCTACGAAGCGCGGATAGACGCGCTGCAGAGGCAGGTGGAGGAACAAAGTATGACAATGTCTATGTATAGCAGTTACACGCCAGAGGACTTCAATAACATCGAGGAGGATATTTTCGGTGAGTGTGGAAAAACACGTTGCTTCCAAGTCACAATTATATTTTGGTGAAGCTATGCCCGATCGACTGCGCGTCCTACCTTATCTCTCACTTAACTCTTCGGACTTATAAATATCTTTCATCACCATCGAGAGTTCTTACCGCATGCTACCAAGGCCTACTTACCTTGTCGATAGGACATAGCACATTTGAAATAACACTTAGCGAAGTAACCGTTCCATCAAACGCTTGGCTTCTCTGACTGTTTTGCCTGGTAATGGCTTGCATTTCAGTCAACCCATTGTTTGACGCAGAGAGCAACTGGACGGAGAGAGAGTTTCAACTGGCCGCTTGGGCCTTCCGCAAGTGGAAATATCATCAATTCACGAGTTTACGGGACGATCTTTGGGGCAACGCGATATTCCTTAAAGAGGCTAATGCTATATCCGTTGAACTAAAAAAGAAGGTACAGTCGCGGATATACGACGGAACGTTTCTGGCACGGTTTTCTTTCACTCACGTCTATCTCTGCACTACGTTCCTGCGACACTTTTGAATACAATCTCTGAATTTTTTTAAAATTCTAAATAACGACGTGAATTACATTTTATCCGCGTGATCTACGCATACGTACTTTTTCGAGTGTAACGATAGTCCTTTGTGGAATTAATATCGCACAGAGAGAATTGAAAAATGGTTAATCTGTTAATTGTATTAAATAAAAATTCGAGGGAAGAAATATTTCCGTTGTATAACGGACCTTATCGCATTGATTTTCTCTGCTAGGTCCAATTCCAATTCACCTTGCTCACCGACACCCTTTATTCGCCCCTACCTCCGGATCTTTTGCCCGCTATGGACGAAGAAGAGGAGGACGAGAGACCATTCCCACGCACGATCGTCGCCGTTGAGGTTCAAGATACGAAAAATGGTGCTACGCATTACTGGACGTTGGACAAACTAAGGTTTGCTATATTTCATTGATTATCTTACGATGACGCTTACTTAATTAATAGAGCATTCGTGCTGGAGATGAAACGTACTCTCTGCTTCTGAGAAATAATTTTATCACAACGAATCGTCAATTCACCGAGAAAATGGACTCTGCGGAGCGATTTTATAACTAAATTACAATTGCATCTGTATACAAATCATCAAATTTGTACACCAACATATAGCATGTCCTACAATTATATGTACATCAATTCTTTACCATTACGAACTGAAATAAGATCTTCTTTTCATGCTACATTCGACAATTTCTTTTCTGTTTCGTTACTGTCGCACGAATGCACCTCTGGCGTGTTCAATGAAAACTGAAAATTATCGGCCCGAAAGTAATGCGAGGATTAAACATTTCTATAAAAATATTCACATGAGACGAGGAGGAATTCTTCCGCGCGCGCTACGCATTGCCTTAGAGTCGAATTTTCAGCTTAGAGGGTCTTTTCGCTAATCGAGAGCGAGATCGCAGTTTGTTAATAAGACTCGGTCCGCGCTCGGACGGAGATCGGCTGAAGGGATCGCACGGCCCACTCACGCGAAGTAATACAATGATTAACTTGTAGACAGCGCTTGGAGCTGATGCGACACGTGTACAACGAGGACTCGAGCCCCAGCACTCCGGAGGCCAAAGAGGATATTTTCCAATGCCTTACAGTCTACTCTAATCCGAAGTTCTCGCTCGCAAATCTTTTGCCTTCGAGGTTGGTGCTCGAACGCGCGAGGCTCTCTCCTCTTATCGCCATGTAATACGCTTTTAAACGCCTCCCCCCCCCCCCCGGCCTCGAAGAATCCCGTCCTGTCGCTGTCGCAAAGTCGTTTTTACCGTCTCGTGCCGTTTTGTCGTTTCTTGCTCTTTCTGTCTTGAGAGGCTTCCTCGGTAATGGCAATGCCCGTGCCCTCCGGCGCGGATACAACGCGAAACCGGGCTTTGCACTTTGAGCTCGCGAAACTTTCCGGCGAATCTGCATGGTTTCTTTTGACCCGTAGCGCAAAACCGGAACGTGAGCCGGGGGAATCGAATGGGTGCGAGCTCCCCTCGCCAAAAGTTTACGCAGCACCGCGCTTCTGCTGCTGTGAACAACTCTATGCTGTCTGAATGTGAAGAAAAGCGTCTCGTCGCATTCTATGCACGTCTGTCTCAACACTGACACATCTTCTTAATTATCTCCTGCTGAGCTCGTGTCCTCACTATCTCGCTTTCCAACTCTGTCATGCACGTACAGCTCTGACCAATACAGCTCGATCAAGAAAGCGATAACAAAAGAAAGAAAGAAATATTAAACACGTACTGGAAAGACTCAAAATTCTATATTTTGTGACAAATGTATTTTATTATTTTTTTATTAATTATTATATCGCTTGTTTTTTAATATTACAAGTAACATTTGCCCTTGTTGTGGAAGCAAAATTGTTCGATGGAAAAAGTCGCTTGAACTCGCAACCGTGCCAGTGTAATTGGATGTAACAATGTTCTTAGATTAAAAAAAAAAGACATACGTGAAGAGGTCAAAGAGATCGAATGTGCCAAATACCCGAAGGAATCTGCCTGAAGAAATTTTGGATGAGTTAAACGCACTTCGACGATTTAACACACGTGTTACGATCGCATTCGCATTACCTCTTGCCACACGGAAATAGTACTAAACGACAGTCTCGTCTGCTTTCCAGGCAAAGGCTGGAGCTGATGCGCGAGATGTATCACAACGAGGCCGAGCTCTCACCTACGTCGCCGGACTTCAATATCGAATCCATCACGGGGGGCGATCCGTTTTACGACCGATTTCCGTGGTTCCGCATGGTCGGCAGGTAAAAAAAGCACACATAAATGCAACGCCACGGCCTACTTTCTTCTTCCCTGATGGAAATATTTTGCTGAAAGTGAGATCCAGGAGGGGTTATTGAAAAATTGCTGAATGTATCTCAAAATGAATCATAACTTTCAGCTAATAAGAATATTCTTCAGCGTCGCCAGCAGTAATTAACAACGCCAGTGTTTTCTCGACCACATCTGGCATTTTTAATAATACAGAAAATTTATTGCGAAAAATATTATCTCAGCCAGGTTCAACCTGGACTTCCCCGCACTCTAGTCTCACCAATTCGACCACTGAGGCATGAATCATAATTTTCCTTATAAAATTCATTGTAATGCTGCGAAATGTAAGGAAAGTCAAAGTACTGCTGACAAAAAATTAAAAATCCTAAAATATTACGTAGACATTATAAAATTTAACTAACTATATTACTTTTTAATAAAATATTGCTGAAATGTCGAAATGAAACGGAGTCGATTGAGAGAAATTTTCAGACACATTTCAAGGAGATTTTATTATATTTTCAGTAAAATGTTTCCACACTGAGGTTCTCTCCTTTCGCTCTCAATTATCATGCTAATCTGGTTTTGTACGTCAAATTTTTCAGAGCTTTCGTATACCTGAGCAACCTCATGTACCCGGTGCCACTAATCCACAAAGTGGCCATCGTGAACGAAAAGGGCGACGTCAAGGGTTACTTGCGAGTCGCCGTACAGGCCGTAGTCGGTGCGTAATCCGTGGCCATGTGTCCACAGTTCCGCGTCTAGCGCGCATATAAGATGTACATAACGAACCCTTCTTCCAGAAGAGGAAAACAGCGAATACTCAAGTGGCGTGAGACAATCGGCACGAATCTCCTTCGAGGACGACTTGTTCGGCGGGCACAAGCACAACAAACGCAGCTCGCTTCTGGCTCAGACTCTAGAGAAGAATCGGCAGATCATGCTGCACGAGGAACGCGTGGTCGAGGGGCACAACGAGATCAATCAGAAGGACATGAAGGACGAGGACGACATAGGAGACGCCGACAGCGGCAGGGGCGACAGCTCGGTCTCGAGCGACATGAAGGAGGAAGAGCTGCCGGATCACTTGCAGCCCGGTGCAGAATTCACTTTCAGGGTAACGGTCCTACAAGCTATGGGTATCTCCACGGAGTACGCTGACATTTTCTGTCAGTTCAAGTAAGTGCAAGCGCGTCTGTCTGCTTCGGCTCGTTTCCACGTGGCGTTTAAACTGCAACGTGATTTACTTTCGCAGCTTCCTACATCGACACGACGAAGCTTTCTCGACGGAGCCGGTGAAGAACACGGGCAAGGGTAATCCACCCGGATTTTATCACGTACAGAACGTAAGTTGAAAGCAAACCTGCTCCGTAAAAGTTTTCATCAAAGTTAGATCCTGCCAATCAATAATATTTTTCGACGAAACAGATTACAGTCACGGTTACGAAATCCTTCTTGGAATATCTGAAGACTCAACCTATCGTCTTCGAAGTGTTCGGTCATTATCAGCAGCATCCGTTGCACAAGGACGCGAAACTGGAATAGTGAGTGTTAATCGTAAATTCGCTGGTTGGACTTGAGTTAAGAATATCTCGTAAACACATTTGCATTCACATAGCAGCGTACGACAGCCACCGAAGAGAATGCTTCCGCCATCCATACCGATCAGCCAGCCGGTTCGTTCGCCGAAATTTGGGAGCGTCCTGCCGTCTCCCAGCACGTCGCACGTGCACGCCAAGTACGACGTGCTGGTGTGGTTCGAGATCTGCGAGTTGGCACCGAACGGCGAGTACGTGCCGTCGGTGGTGGACCACAGCGACGATCTGCCGTGTCGCGGACTGTTCCTGCTCCACCAGGGCATACAACGGCGTATACGAATCACCATTGTGCACGAGCCGGCTTCCGAATTGAGGTGGAAGGACGTGCGCGAGCTCGTGGTCGGCCGCATTCGTAACACCCCGGAACCCGAGGAGGAGGACAACGACTCGTCCGTGCTCTCGCTGGGTCTGTTCCCGGGCGAGTACCTCGAGATTCCCGGCGACGATCGAACCATGTTCAGATTCGAGGCAGCCTGGGACAGCTCCCTGCACAACTCGGCCCTGCTCAATCGAGTCACGTCTTACGGGGAGCAAATCTTTATGACCATCTCCGCATATCTTGAGGTACGCGTTAAACGTTGGAATTGTTCGCGGGTACATTTACGCAGCGGGCTCATTTGTATCGGTTTTAGCTGGAGAATTGTGGAAGACCTGCGATTATCACGAAAGATCTGAGCATGATCATCTACGGAAGGGACGCAAGGGTCGGGCCACGCTCGCTCAAGCATCTGTTTAGCGGCAGCTATCGCAATCAGGAGGCGAATCGGCTCAGCGGCGTTTACGAACTGGTGCTACGCCGTTCTTCGGAAGCAGGTAGCCCAGGTTTGTTATATCTAACCATAGCGTAGTTCCGTGTTCCACTTGATATCACATGCAGACGGAATTAAATCTCGCTTTTCAGTCTATATTATTCGCTCTGTGACATACTTTTTACCTACGTATAAAAGATATATCTCGAATATATTTCAGATATATCTTTATACATCTTTCTAGCGACTCTCCAAATCTTGAAACCGAGACAATTAGTATCATTCGTTTGGAAGAAAAAGAGGAAATGTTTAAACAATGTTTAAATGTAATTTGATCATTTTTAATTATATTGATAACGTTTGTTATTCTGACTATAAAACATTCGTCTTATCGTGAAGAACACAATTAATATCTGTTCTACATTATCTTTCAGTAAAACAGATTTCTTGAATTATTATTTTACATAAAGAATAATTGTTTTAATCACATTTACTTACACTTTCGGGGTTTTACCTCCTTCTCGACACCCATTCCCTTTCCCTTCCTATTTACTTACAGGAGTTCAAAGGCGTCAGCGACGCGTCTTGGACACGAGCTCCACGTACGTCAGAGGCGAGGAGAATCTACACGGATGGAGACCGCGTGGAGACAGTCTCATATTTGATCATCAGTGGGAGCTCGAAAAGTTGACGAGGCTGGAGGAAGTTGAGAGAGTGCGGCACACGTTGCTGCTGCGGGAGAAGCTCGGCATTGACAAAGTACCGTTCTGCAATAAACCTCTGCACGATTTCACAAAGAGCGAAAAGGTACCTGTGTACCTTGCATTAAATGCGTGGCACAAAATCGTATATTAATTCTGTGATGCAGTATCCTCTAACAACCCTAATCTGGTACAGGATGTGTGTAATATGGTGGCAAAGGCCACGAATGAGCCGCATGCCAGCCCGGTGAAGCTGAACCGTTCAACGAGTACGAAAGACGTTTACGAACCCTGGGAGATGACCGAGAAGGAGCGCGAGTTGGCGACCAAGTACATTAAACTCATCCAGGGACGAATCAAGGAGCCGATATTGCTCACCGACGTTTCGCCCGGGGAAGACACCATAACCGATCTGTCCGCGTCTATGATGTCCTCGGTCATATCGTCCTCGTCTCAAGAGTCAGTATATGCGAGAGCTAGCGATTTGTTAGAGCAGGTAACCCTCCTTGCATGCCTCTGAGTGCTCTTGCTAGTAGCGGTTGTCCATGCTTCGCTTCGTCGTAAATTCCCTTCCGAAAAAGAAAGGACGCAATATTTGAAAGTTCAAAAACTCGATTCGTTCGTTGCCGAATACACGTGTACGATTTCGCTGCAGTCTGATACACGCTGAGTAAGACGTGAATGAAGACACCGACAATGGGACTTTTGCCCTCGTTGCCGTGCGAAGCGGCTGGTCGATTCACGCATTCTTTCAGCTTGGCTCGACACAAATTATCGCGCTTTCTTAAACCAATTCAGCTTCCGAGAAACCATCCGCTTTCGCATTCGCTCGTTTTTCCAACGTTCGAGACTCGAGTGCCTTAACGTGCCAAGACAACCGCCAGCACGATTGGCTCGGGGTTATGCTGGAGTGTTACTTACAGGCTGCTGGTATAGTAGTATGGAGCAGGTCTAAGTCGTGCCTCCTTAGGTTGAGCTCGCCGGAGAGGGCTAGACTGCAAGAGCTTCAGGAGAGTATATTGGCGAGCGAGTCGGCTAATCAGACCTGCACTGTCGCGCCGCCGCCGCTCGGATCGTCCTCGCCGTCGAAGGAGAACCTGGTGCTGTACGTGCCGGAGGTGGAGGAGATACGCATTAGCCCGGTCATCGCGCGGAAGGGCTACTTGAATGTTCTCGAGCACAAGACCAACGGCTGGAAGAAACGCTGGGTGGTATGTTTTGCCACCGTTTACGTTACCTAATTTGAAAGAGGCGGAGAAAGCTGCGTTAAATAAAATTTGATTGTTTTATCACGTTGGATTGTGATAATATTCTGATTCTACACGGAGAGAATTTTTTCTTAAAATTTATTCTGAAAATCATATAATTGTGGGACGTGACATTCTAAAATTTTGTGGAAGTTTTTTGAAATTTTACCATATAGATTTTACTAGTATAATAATTACATTTACAATTAGTACTTATTTTACTAATAGAAAGTATGATAAAATTTTTGTCAAAAAACTCATACTGTTCTACAAAATGCCACGTTGTCCCATAATTATATGATTTTCGAGATAAATTTTAAGAGAAAATTCTCTCCGTGTACAGTTATTGATTTTAATACCTACGCGATTCTTCTTTGTCGCTTCAGGCCGTCCGCCGACCGTACGTTCTCATTTTCCGGGAGGAGAAAGATCCCGTTGAAAGGGCATTAATTAATTTAGCTACAGCTCAAGTTGAATACTCCGAGGATCAGTTGGCCATGGTAAAAGTGCCGAACACCTTCAGGTAAGCTGTTCGCGAATAAGAAAGTAAGTGGACACGCGGATGTACGGTATGTAATGAAATGTCTGTCTATGCAGTGTTGTCACCAAACACAGGGGATACTTACTGCAGACTTTAGGCGATAAGGAGGTCTACGATTGGCTGTATGCGATTAATCCTCTTCTAGCTGGTCAAATTAGGCATGTATAACAGCGCAAATTTATCTCGCCCCGTTTACTTTGATACGAAACAAGGCCCTAATTGTTATCTGATGTACGAAAAGTATGGGAACGATGGATAGAATGTTTAATACGTTGTCGTAGGTCAAAGCTCGCCCGCAAGGGTCCGGCTGCCCCGAATCTGAGCAACGGCGCGCCGATTGGACTGACACCGCAGCTGGAGCAGCAGAGCAATCAGACCAAGTGAGTGGTCGACACTATGGCCGGGGTAAAGAGTGCAATAGCTAAGGCGTCGGAAAGAATGCTGTATTGGTCACACTCGGCCTTAGAGTCCCAAGACTTCTGTAACTTTCGATTCCCGCTAGTCTTTGATTGACCGGGCGATGGCGAAGCTGTCCCTTGAGACCACTCCATGATCGGCGGCATATAATATCGACGTTTTACTTTACACAGCGTCCCCTTAGCACGTTATAGGGCAGTCAGAGCAGGGTGAAGGAGAAGGCAGGGAAGATAGTGCTCGTCTTTCGAAGAAGTTACAAATGCGCGTACAAATTCATTCGGTTACACTGTACTGAGAAAAAAAAATGCGTTTTCGAGTCTCTCCGTACATTTCGAACTTGCATTCGAAATGCCCCCCACGTCGACGAGACACGAGGTCGCGCGCGCGCGCGCGCGCGAATGTTTTCCGTTGAACTCTCATTTCCGTGATGCGTATACGCGACGTAATTACGCGATGCTCTTACGCGACGTGTGAGGAAGATAGAAAATGCATTTATGCCTAATAAACATATTCCTAAGACGATCACTGAAAATCGGGATAAGGAATACATGTTATAAATATATCTGTAGAGGAGAAAGTGTGCAAGAGAGGGAGAGAAAGAGAACAATAAAAAGAGAGAAAGCGAAAGAGAGAGAGAAAGAGAAATGAACGAGAGGCAAGAAGATATTAATAATTTCATACGCAAGCTTAACGATCGCTTAGTACGCGAAAGATTATTACGACGGAGAGAAAAACAAGCGCGTTAACATTTTGTAAGATGATTCGGGCAAATCGTTAAGATCCGTTTAAGGTAGTACTCTGTCTAATTGTAAGCAAGTTTTAGTATCGTGACGATCGTTTAACAAAGTAGAGACAATTTTCTATGAGGATCGCATTCCCATTTTTCGTTCACCAATCGTTTTCTTTTACTCGATTAAGCAGATTAGACACGTATGCCGACACTGACAAAGATTTCCGTATGAAAGGTCGTACACGCTGCCGTACACGCAATCGACCGAGTCGCTCGATGAAGATTTTATCCTCTTAATTAGAGATTCGTGTAACTTCGGTTGCAACGCACGTACCGTAAGATAGAATAATATTGCTCTGAAGCAACAACACACTCACTATCGGAATGAAAAACACAGATTCGAATACTATTTGAAATGTGAAAACTAAGAGGCAGCGAAAGTGGATGAGCGAAAGAGAATTGCTACTTTTCGATTCGATAGAATACTTTCTTTTAACATAGCTCGAAACGTTTATTCGCACTGCATCCTACGCTCTTATCCTCGATATAGAGTAATTTTATCCTGTCTTAAGATATCTGCGAACGTCCTACACATTTTTTAGTACTTGGCAGCTACCGTTTTGACTAGACAAATGGATTAGAGAGTTTTAAAGCAAAGAGGTACAAAGAGCAACAGTCCCTTGAGAACAGATCGCGAACGTGAACGATAACTAAGCATTTGTAACTCTCTGTTTCTAAGAATCTTTGTCCAGATATAATGTAGAAGTCTTGCAACGATAATAACAATTTGCACGAAACTCTGTTACAATTCTAATGCGGGATTACGAGGTTGTTGTATAATTGTATTTTTCTTTTTCTTCAATGTCTTCGGGAGACAACAGCAAAAAGCCGTACGCGGGAATTTTGAGCGGGTCGTAACGAGGTCTTAAATTATTATCGTCGTTGTGAGAATTTTACACGGAGAAAATTAAATAATTTCGACAAGCGGAAGAATAATATTGTTGCAAAAACTTCTTCGAAACACGAATAAATGCGCAGTGTGGCTGGCAAGCAAGCGGCGCGTCCAGGCGACGTGAGAAACTTTTCCATTTGTTGCAATTGACCATGACGACCCACGTTGATGCGAAGTTGGAACAAGGAGGCTTTGGGGTTTTCGCACTTCGTATCTCGCAGCATGCGAAATAGATAAAAAATTACGCTAATCTATGGATATAGACGCCACACTCTGACACATCGTGTTTTTATGTCTACTTAGAGTTTAAGCAGCGCTCCTCGAAGACGTTCGCCGCGCGATGCGGCACGCAACATCCTCGGACGTACCCGAATGCGCGTCGACGAACGTAACTGATGATGACTTCGTCTAACGAGGAAATATTCGATTTTGGATCATCGAGTGACAAGTAAACTCGTAGGACGCAATGAACAAAATTGGAATCATATAAGACGGCGAAACTTATTTTTTAAGAAAATGAAATTCTATCTATAGTTGGTACAGAAAGTAAAAAAAATTCAATTTCCGTTCGATGCAATTTTCTTCGAGGGTAGAACGATCTGTTTTCCCGGTTTCTTTCCTCTTCGGAGAATCTAGAAATGAACGGAAGTCCGTTATAAAGTTCAACGATCCGAAATTGGTAGCTTCCTCATAAGATGGTATAGACGATCGCGTTGTTCCGAGGCTTTTACTAACTTCTCTTACGTGTAACAAGTTTTGGATAACAGGTGCGGCGTTATAAAATACATGTGTCTACCGTGCACCTCACATGGAGGACCCTCAACATCTTTGATATCAACTCACGATACACGCGACTGCGGTGTCCAAGTTCGGGATGTAGTCAAGGAAGGACTCCTGATATATATATTACGTATATAATAGTCATTTCATGACGGTCGACATGTAGTACTGAGACATTTCACGCACAGCAAAGACCCGATTTGTTTGGCTCCCATCCCGTGCCGTCTACTACGTTCCCCAATTGCCCCGGACAGCCAGGTCTGTCGAGAAACGAATTTAGCGAAGCGTTTGCCACCGATTCTCTCGGCGGAATGCCAGCGGAAGTCTAACAGAGTTTGCTAATGTGGAATATGTACAGTAGATTGACCGCAGAAACCGAGCGGAATTTTGCAATCATTTAAAATGAATGTGAATTCATTTGAATTACGAAACGACAGATTTTACTCGGTCTCTACTGGCAATGTCGGATTTACATTGATCAGGCTCTGTTGGCAGGTCGCAAGATTAACGCGGACGCGGAATCTGCCAGTTGATGCAAATTCGTGCGCGGAATCTGCTGACAAGCTGCTGTAAACGCCCATGTACAATCGAAGGTATACGTATATACACATTTTGTAATTATATATCGGGCTCTGTCGCTTCTCCAAATCACATTCCGCGAGTATCTCACTTAGGAGCGCGTCTACGTAATACCCCTTTCGTCGCCCAAGCGTTATCGACGTTATTGTACCCCTTTAATTACTAGTCATTTCGGCGGAGGAACCTCGAGTTCCTTTCGCAACTACGGTTTTTTTTTCCTTTTTCTTTAAGTATTGCCCTTCCATCGAAGTGGTCTATCGATTTCGTGTATCTTGACGTCTCTCAAGGGACAAGATTCCGACCAAGATTCTCCGACGTGGACGTCGATGCAGGAATTTGACGGAATACGATCCTGACTCGCTTGATTCTAGTCGCAGAGGTGATTCGCGCGCTCGATCCCGAAGCCGATTGTATCTTTTCCCCTTTCCGTTTTTTTTTCCTCCTTCGATCGCCCACGCGATTCCCGGATCGCGGCTTCACACAGAGTGTAACGCCCCGCCACTGATCAATCCGTTTTCGCTTGCTGACTGTTGTAGTATCTGATAGTTTTATTTTGTTAACGACACACCACCGTATGACGTATCGAGGAAATAAATGCATAAGTATATAAGTTGAACTTTAAGCTCTCTATCGACTGTGCCGAAGAGCAAAGTGGTGTACACGGTGATGGGGAAGAGAGAGAGTGTGAGAGAAAATGGTTAAAGAAAGAGGGAGGAAAGAGAAACGCGTATGTTACAAGAGGAATTTACATCGCATTTAAGTCGTTGGAGAGATTAATAATCATTGTTATTAGTAGACGAAATATAGGAGAGAAGAGAACGGATACGGCGAGAATGAGAGTGTGCATGAGAGGCTGAACGGCAGGGAAAGAGAGGAAGAGAAAGCAAGCAAGAGAGAGAGAGAGAGAGAGAGAGAGAGAAAGAATCCGAGTGGAAATGCATGAAAGACGAAAGTATGTGAGAGAGAGAGAGAGAGAAAGAAGGAGGGAGGACACGTTCGCTTATATATATAATACAAAGTATAAATTATATAAATATATAAATAAATTTAATGTTACTTTAATAAGCATTCCTCTGTGAAACATTGAGGATCATCGCGAAGGCGATCACGCGATGATCCACGGGAAGGCTAACGACGATCTGTACCAAGTATATAAGTTCGTGTGTTTGTTTGTAAGGTAACTGGACATCCGTTACGAAACGTTTTCGTTTGACCGTTTGCTATCGGAAACGTGCATCGATGCTGTAACTAGTATTTATTATAAATATTATATTATGGTTACTCGAATATTTCGCTAGGCTCACTGTAAGTGGTAACGTGTAATAAATCGGTCAATAAAAAGCTTATATGCTTAATACAAGTCTCATTTTTGCAATAACAACCATACGTCGAAACACCGCGTACGATTGATCGAACTTATAATTTCCGACGAGAAACTGAACTCAACCAAATCTTTTTCTACAAGCACATTGTTAGTTAAATCTGTCAAAAAATTTGAGCATTATAATTTTTTAATGATTTTACAATATTATCGTTAAAAAAACTACGCGCGAGACTAATTGTATAGTTGAATCTATAATGAAGATTCGATTCAACTTTTCAAGATCTAAAAACGATAATAAATTAAAACAGAAAACCTAACATCAAAATCCACACGTGTATTGTTCAAATAAATCTTTTATTTAATTTACATTTTTATTTTTATTTTATTTAATTATTAAGAATGCTTGTACGCTCACAACAAATTCATCGAAATTATCTCTGAACTTCAATCTTTGAGTACGGTTATTCAAATCTACATTCAAGTCCACACCCGCGGTTAGTGCAGTGAAAGCATTCGCTAATCGTTGGGCCACTCGAGGATCCGTTTGAGTGGATACGATATTATGTACAAGTTGCTGATATTGTTCTTGATAGCAAGAAATGAGATGATAAAGAGGCATACCGGCATTTGAGATCAGGTCTGAATCCATTTGATGTGACAAAATGAGACTAATCAGCAACTGAAAAGAGAAATTCAATATTTCAGAATTTGCTGTACTCCAATGCTTATATGCTCAATCATTACTTAATTATTAAATAATTTATAAAACCTTACATTCAAAAAGGGTACCATTATATCTTTGCGTGGCTGTCCTTGCCCAACTTCTCTCTGAATGTGCTTAGTCAAAACTTGGATTGCATCACAGCAAAGACTAGCTACTTCATTGCCAAATGAGTATAAACCTAATTCTACTGACGCTAAAAGCTGCTGCAGCAATTCAACAGACAAACTGCAAACTTTCTCAGGACATAGATCGCATACAAACGCTATCATTTTAAAATACCTGTAAAGTAACAAATATTTAAATATACGCAAAAATGATGATAGAAATGTAATAATGAATATGTGGAATTGAAACATTCTTCAAACATGTTTTAATAGCAAAAATTTGAAACTCTTACATTATATATTATAATTTACTGTACTTAATTTTAATAGAATTTATGTTCTAATACACATTATTGAAATTAAATGTATCTCTTTCTTTTATATTATATTACTAATATATAATTATACTTACTGTAAACAAAGCGACGGAAATTTTAACAAATTCATCGTCATCATAGGCATAATTATATTTAGGCCGTACAAAAAAACATCAGTAGACGGAATAGGCTTGACGAGCGATGCTATAGACGCATATCGGCTGATTGGCTGGTCCACTTCATGGTTTAAATGAAATATGTCTTTAGTTAATAAATTAGTTAATAATCTCATGAGTAGCAGAATATCCTGAAAGCTGTCCTCCTCCGCAGTCGAGTCTACAGTAAGCCGATGACTATTGCAGCTAGCATACGCTTGCATTACTTGCAAACAAATATCATACACACACATACTATTAGCCTAAAATAATGCAATGAAGTATTAGGATTAGAATTGTTATCAAAATGCCAGGATTCATTGCTTTATACAAATGATAATGACTTACCTGTGATAAGAAAAATAGAATTTTTGTATATTCATTGAATAACTCTAATATCAGCTGCACTATATCTTGATAATTATGATACAAAGATAATAATTTTGGAAGTTTAGCTAATATAGGAAAAGTATGTTCATACACGGGCGTTATTATTGAACTCTCAGCACCTTGTACCACACCTATTTAAATTAAATGACGATTATGCAATAAAGTTTTATTTCAAGTCGAATATACGCATCATGAGAGTTTAAACAAATACTTAATGTATTACCTATACAGGATTCAAGTATATCTATGATTTGCACTTTCATTCGTTCTTCGTGATAAGACGACATGAAATTATCACTAGATATTAATTGCATGAATCCATTCTTCATAGATTTCAGCGTTCGCGACCAGTAGTACTGCTCGGTATTTTGTACTACAGTACCGGCTTGAACCACCGCGCGCATTAAACCTCTCTTAATAGTCTGTGGAAAGTTATACTGTCGTTTCATAGCCAATTCAATGATGTAAGTGAACTGCTCAGACTTTGTCAAACAGGAGGCTCTGGAAAAGTAATATATTTAAATCTTAAATCATTTCGATGAAAATGTTACCACGATTACTTTAATGCGTTAAATCTTCTACGATATGCAATACATGCCTTTATATCCTTTTACGCAAGAGCATGTATTATATAGTACTTTATGCGAACATAATTAAATCACAAAAAATCGCGAATTATCAAATCGTAAAGAATAGTGGCTTTGTTAAAGCAATCGTAAATGTAACACATTCATTAAAACACGCGATAATTTGTCTAGGGCACGCATATTTCTTTTTCTGAATTGTGTATCAAATCAAACTGAGTGGCAGGTGAAAAGGAAAATGAATAATTTTGAAAATAAAGACATAAGGATTGAGAGATCATATGAAGAATTAGATGTGGCTGAACAGCGAGATAGTAGATTACAGTAACCCTTTTCAAAGCTGAAAAACATGAAGTAATTGAAGAAAACCTCCGATGTTTAAACAGATTAATATGAAAAAATATATGATTTTAGATAAAACAGAATTTTGTTTTAAATACGCGATGCATGAAACACAAAGTATTCATAAGATTTATACTAAACTTAAGTATCTGAAAGCTCTCATATAAAGTTGAATTTTATTTATACAGATAAAAATATCAGTTTCATTTTTAAACGTAAATTTGAAGACAATATTAAAATTTAAGAATTTAATTAGAATATTTAATGCAAATAACTTACAATTGTGCGAAATGCACAACCTAATTTTATGCTGAGAGAAAATGCAGTCCTTAAAGTTTGACGTGTACAAATCTTATGAGACACCTTATATCAACATTTTATTCTTGAGCGTACTCCCATTAATTGTGCATAAAATATGCCAAAGTTTAATAAATTTATCGTTTTATGTAATTACAATTTATAATCAATTTTTGCCACACAAGCGGATATACATAATCACCTACCAGAAAACAAATATCCCATATCTTTTTCACAAAATATTATCCAGTAAAAATCTTAGCGAAATCCATAATCCGTGGATTCCATCTGGAAGATTTTTCATTCTAATCAAGTTCTATTCAAAACTTAATTTGTTAATCATTAACTTATACGGAAAAAATACCGCTGTCCCTAAACAAATTATTAAGATAACTGATGCGGACATATTATGCGTGTTATATTTACCTCTCTTTCGAATTAACAAGAGATATTAATAATTTTATAGTTTCGTCTATTAGAGCCGGTTCGCTCTTGAATGCGTTGATGTTGCAAATTACTTTGTCTAGAAGAAAATTCATTGACCACAATGCACCCGGGCCATCCTCACCAAAGACATGCAAAAGCGTAGTGCTCAACTCGGAATAATAATCCTCAGTTGGCAAAAGATAAATCTGCGACCATCTGTGTAAAAACCATATTATTGTGCTGCTCAATTCGGGACTAAGTATATTCTCCAAGTGTATCGATATAGCAGTTTTCTCAATAGTGCACAAGCGGAAAACGCCTGTGATCAATCGGATAACTTGATCGATCGAGTTCGCAGGGCAGCTTATATCTGACTGAACATTTTGCGAAGACACTAAAAACTCCAGCGTACGGTTCACGTCAACATTCCCCTCTCGTGACTAAAAACAAAAACATATGCAAAAGAGATTTAATACTTCCGCCTATGGAAATGTAAAAGTTGCATTAAATCTTTACAAACCTGTTTCATGCTACATCGCGTAATTTCCAAAGGTATTAACGCGGTTTCACCGCCCGCTTCCATGCAAAGAACGTGTCCTGTTATTAAGATGAGCCAATGCAAATCCTCGTACAGCTCGTTCATAGAGGCAGGTCGAGACGAAGATTCATTTTGCTCGACCAATATATTCAGATTATCGCGCAATTTGTGTATTCTATCTTCGAGTAATTGTGCTAATAGAGGTAAAGCATGATCTGGTACGTATCTACCAAAGTTTCCTAGAGTTTGTGTCAAACATTTGCTGTTATTACCATTATTGATTCGCGTAATGAAATACATTTTGATAGGACCAATTTGTAATACTATTTACCAATTATTTGCAATTGGTCCTTGAATTTAACTGTGTCATCATCCTCCACATCTGCCACTTCCTCGCTGAGACTATTTCCGCCAGCATTTCTCACGCCTTCCGGAGGAGACAAGTGACATCGAAGATACACATTAAATATCTGTATAGAGCTCTCCTTATGAAACTCCGGTGGAAACGTATATATGAACATACATGACCATACTTCGAACATATGTTCCATAGCTTCCATATATAAGCAATCATCGACGCGTATCTGTAAAGATTACAAAATAATAAACTTTTCTGTTCTAATATTTATTGCAACTTATAATTTCACAAGTGATAGACACTTTTACGCTAAACATTTTAAGGATACTAGGGTCAAATTTAGAAAGAATCTCCGGGGCCGAAATTCAGATGTAAATTCAAACAAAGTAGATGCAATAGTAATTACCGATTCTTCTTGTGCAGCACATTCTATAAATAAACACGTTAGTCTCACTATTTGCTCCACAAATGGCTTGTACAAGTCCTCGGGAAGACTCTTCAATGTATTTTGAAAGGAATAAATAATCTTCCTTATAATGTTCGTAATTCCATTCGCCTCTTGATCTCCAATCTCAATACTGGACACAAGTTTTAAGAATCTCTGCATATAATTTGTCAGGTACTGCACTTTTACTTCTTCCGCACTCAGGATAGTACCGTGTAAGCTCGCCAGCTGTACAAGACAGTTCATAGCAAGATGAGCTAGCTGCGGATTGCTGCGTACTTTCCAATACAGTGTAAAAAATAGATCTAATACTGCTGGATCTAGTATCATGTCTTGCCAGTGTATGGTCAATCTCAATGGTGGGTTATTGCCGGATTCATAGGCTTCATACATGTTCCTTAAAAATACTATTCTGGGTAGTGCACTGGAGTTAAGGAATATCTAAACACCTGTCACCTGTAATTCTTTATACAACTATTTGCCTATTATTATATTTATGCATATCCATTTCAATAATTATATCCCACATTAAGTATTCAAATGAATATGCAAGTTACACTGCGCTTAATACTAAGTGTGGATACTAAATGTAAATCTGTTTTATATATATATATATATATATATTTACACAATCGTATCCTATACACATTTAGCGTTCAAATTAATATATCACTAGTGATGCATTTATTAGGTAGTAAACTTAGTTTCCGCGGATCACATTTAAATGACGCTCGTTGTAAGTGTAATTTACTTTGACATCTGTAACTGGCTGCATTTTAAAGGTTAGACATTTGTCAATAAAATTCAGTGCAAAAAGATTCATTTAAGCGAACAGTGTCATTTTTTTTCTTTTGATTAAACATGGAACGTTACAAGTTGTTTTTTCGACATGTACTGCTTCATTACTTTGATTTGAAAAAATTGCAGCTACAGCTTGTAAATTACTTGTCGAAGCTTATGGCAATTGTGCTCCATCGGAAAGAACAAGCCAAGAATGGTTTCAGCGATTTAAAAGTGATTTTAATGTGAATGATAAACAATGCTCAGGTCAGCCGAAAAAGTTCGAAGACACCGAATTGCAAGCATTATTGGGCGAAAACTCAGCTCCAAGAATTGTCTGCAGCGTTAAATGTTACTCCGATGGCTGTTTCCAAACGTCTACGTGCAATGGGAAAGATTCAAAAGCAAAAAGTTATTCTTTTGCACAACACTAGATCACACGGTGCAAAAGCCGTCAAGGAAACTGATGCAGCTCTAGTGGAAAGTTCTCCCGCACCCAGCGTATTCACCAGGCTTGGCTCCTTCAGATTGTCACTTGTTCCGATCGATGAAGCACGGCTTGGTAGATACACACTTCAAAAATTAAGAGGATGCGCAAAAATAGATCGATAAATGGATTGCATCAAAAGACCAATCGTTCTATCGTTCGCGGAATCCATTCATTGCCAGAAAGATGAGAAAAATGTATAGCTAGCAAGGGCAAATACTTTGATTGACGCATTTCTTACTTTTGATATCGAAATAAATGAGTTTGTTAAACAAAAAACACCGCGGAAACTAATAGCGTTTTTCACTGGTTGCACTAGTGCGCACTGAGTGCGCACTAGTCAAGAGCAGCGTGTTTCACTGAGCTTTTCGGTGCGCACGAAGGCGGTGCGCACTGTTTCACTGGAAAACTTGGTGTCGAGTTTTTGCATTTTAGTGCTGAAACTCGGCACGAGCCCCAAGAGACGGTGTCGATCTAGTGCAATATGGCAGCGCGGGATATTAATACCAATTTTGAATTCATCTGCTAGATGTGCTATCCTCATCATCATCATCATCTAGTAGTGACGAAGAACTTTGGAATAAAGAATTACGAAAAATACCAAAAATTGAAAACTTTATTGTAAAGTCCCACTTCGCTTGGTTGCAGTTTTATTGTTAGCAACTTATCATTCACTTTAAAATTCACTTCAAATTCTTCCATTATAACAAATTCGTACGTACGTAGAAAGGTTAAGAACGAAAAAACGTGACACTTGATCTGCATCGAATGTTTAACTGGGAGTGCAAGAAACTCGCACTTTCAGAAACATCGTGCAGTATCGGTGCGCACTTGTGCAATTTCGGTGCGCACTCAGTTCCTTCCAGTGAAAAACGCTATAAGTTTACCAGCTAATAATACCAAGTGTGAAATATGAATGAAATATAAGCTGCAATGTCCAGTTTCCTTGTCTCCCAGTTAATATACATATATTTTTGCATCAATAGATACAATAATCCTAAATGCATTAAAAAGGATATAACTTGGATAAAAAAATGCCCAGACGAGTATACTCTCCACGACGGAAAGTAAGGGCTTCGCAAGAGGTAACGTCGATTCGTCAAAATCCTTCTCGATCCATTCACCGAGTATCTCTATACAAAACTTGAAAATTCTTTTCATGTCGCTTAGTTCGAAGCGTTTCTTCTCCAGGTAATGTACTTCCCATGTCAGACCGATATCGGACGACTTGGCCGTCGTTGCGTACTCTTGCAATATTGCAGATAAAATATTGCATCCCAAAATTTGCTGCAAATAAAGGAACAATCTCTCTGTCACTCTTCTTTTCTCCTTCGCGTGTTGCAAGAGAAATCCAATGTAACTATATCAATGTGCTTAACTTCGATGTATACTTACATTTGTTAAGTTCCCACTCCTAAATAAATTTTCTATCTCATTTATTATTCGACCTCTCTCTACTCCAAAGTCATCCACGCTACCTCTCTTAATTGTTATTGCAAGAACTTGGAGTATCTTCGCCCTAACGTATGGCGCTAACGTAGGTTTACTTATAACGTAGTTCAATAAATATTGTCTCAACGAAGAGATGTCAGATTTTTCCAGATTGGGCCACTCCTCTATCAGAGCCGTCTTTATCAGGCCGGCCGTTTCGAACAGTATGTAATCCATGGAGCTTAATTCTAAAATTTGTTGACATAGCTGATACGGTGACTTAGTCTTGCGAAAATTTAGGAATACAGCCTCCGCAGACTGACGTTGCTCCAATGAGATCAGATTCGAGGGTGCCTGAAAGTAGTGCGAATACAAAGTCACTCGCCAACGTTCTACGTTTCCCAACATATGAGAAACGACTCGGGACACATGTAATCGGGATACTTTCTTGTATCGTCTGGCGAATCTTGGGTTTGCTATTAATCTGTATTCATGTAAACTCATGATATTTCTCATCAATAGGTAGAAAGACGAAAGATGCTTAAATATAAGCAACGATCCAGATTGATTATTAATTCTACGTTATTTGCACCCTCTAGTAAAATGTAATTTTAACCTCAGCCTTAGAATTCTCTACTAAACTCTTTTACTGCTCAGACACTGCATAACAAGTAGTTTCATAGTTAGAGAACTTTTGCACTTATCTTAAAAGCTATAGAGAATATTACACAATCTTTATTGAATTGTGAATCGTCAAAGAACAATAAACATCAAGGGGTAAACCGCTGAGGGCGTTGTGGTGTACAGACTTGCGGCATTACTGGGTTCAATTTCACCAACGCTGTTTAACTTTAAGCTTAGCTCAATTCGTTCTTTGTCTCTTCTCAATTGTTACTTTAGAAAGAGACAAACCTGATTTAAACCAAGATTAAAGTTAAGCGACGTTTGGTGAAACCGGGCCTTAGAATGTTATTAAACTAAATTAATGATGACGTACAAACGTAATTCACATTAAGCTCTACTGGCAGTCTACTGATAAAAAAATTGACAACAGAACGTAAGCTTGGCATTGAACTTGCAGCCGCAATAATCTTCCACTCGAGTTTGCCAGCGAAACTTCGCCTGCCCAGGTAACTTCAGTCGACAAGTTCTCTCTCATGGAGCACCAAACGTTGCTCCCTCAAAACGATAAACAGTGAGAACTTACATAACACGTGGAATACTACAATACACTCGAGAGAGAGAGAGAGAGCCCTCGCTTCGGCTCCGTCTCGTACGGATACGTTCGTTCGCAAAGGAAAAATGTTTGTGACGCCGAGTGGTGCACACGTCTTCTGACCGAAGAAAAGTTTTTATCCTGCGGAGTTGCGTCACGCGCGTGGCCTGGTTGCCAGGTCATTGCAGTGTTATAAACTTTAGATGTATTGTACTCTAATCGACATTGTGGAGACCATTAAGACTACCGGTTCGTAGTAGCCGCGTCAGCTGTAGTAGCTAGGAGCCAAGAAACCCGAAGAAGAAGAAGAAGAAGCAAACGAAAATCGTTCAGTCCCGCACTCTCAGTCCCTCGGATCCCGATTCCTTGCCCAAGTGTGCGCGCACCACCTGGACCGCACGGATCTCGTTGAATCCTCGAGAGAGGATGTTAAATAGGTCGTGACGTGGGGATCCTAACTCCCTAAAGCGGGACCCCACACGAACGTGAGGAGAATTTACGGGCGCGGCGAGGCGCGCCATTTTCCGCTGGATAAATCTTGGCTCTACGTGCGCTGACGCGCTTCTCCAGGGAGTCCACGGCTTGTTTCCGCCGCGGCACCGGTCGTGCTCGAGCGTGGAGCCTCGCGATCTATTTGCGTAACAAAAGGGGAATTCGGCGGCGCACAACTCACCAGAACGACTTGCGCCGCGGCTTCCAGTTCCTTCAGCACTTCCTCCGTCATTTTGAAGGCGAATGGTTTATCTCAGTTACTATTAATTCAGCTAGTCGGATAAATAAATGGACAATACCATACACGTTTGTGTACAATAACACCTCGCTATAAACCGCACACAGCGTCACGACCCAAGTTAGCTAGCTTTGTAGACAGCGAGCGTCCTCGCCATACACGAGGTGTAACATCGCACGAACGTAGAAAAGAGATGAGAGGGGCCAGTCATAGACTATAGATTTGTTTTTTATTCCTGCACTGGTGAACTAGTGCAATAAATTAGAGACAAGAAATAAATAAATTAAAGACAAGCATATTTTTTCTCATTCTAGCTTGTGGCAAATTCGATTGCTTGCACTAGTGCGCACTAAGTGCACACTAAAGCCTCCGCTACAAGGGGTTTGTTTTCTGTTCCTGCACTGGTGAACTAGTGCAGTAAGCTAGAATGAGAAAAAATATGCTTGTCTTACTCCAATTTATTGCACTAGTTCACTAGTGTAGGAACAGAAAACAAGCCTAATGATTCTCGGTTCTGTCTACAATGGTCGTAGTCGTAGTCGCTCGATAAGAATTGACCAATCGCAGTCGATTATTCTTACGACTACGACCATTGTAGACAGAACCGAGAATCATTGTAGCGGAGGCTTTAGGCCTGTTACACAATACGTCGTATGTCGCTGTCGGATGTCGGAACGTGGTCGATGGTTCAATCAGAAAATTCCTTTTCCAAAAAACAAATTTTCTCATTAGACCATCAGCTACGTCCCGACATCCGACAGCGACATACGACGTATTGTGTAACAGGCCTTAGGCTGGGTCTACATTGGATGTCGTAAGTCGTGTCGGAAGAAATTGACCAATCACAGTTCATTATTCTCCTTAGGCTGGGTCTACATTGGATGTCGTAAGTCGTGTCGGAAGAAATTGACCAATCACAGTTCATTATTCTCCTTACGGTCGAAGAATAATGAACTGTGATTGGTCAATTTCTTCCGACACGACTTACGACATCCAATGTAGACCCAGCCTATGGCTGGTAAGGGTACTATTACATTTGTCGTACGACAAAGTTTTTAAGCGTATTGATTGGCCGAAGGATAGTAAAATTCTCGAGTATCTAGAAACTTTTTATTCAGTGGCTAATCGACACGCTTGAAAAATTTGTCGTACGACAAATGTAATAGTACCCTTAGCACGGCACACGATACTATTTTTTCTACTGGATTGCTTACAAGAGCCAATCAAAAGTCGATTGGTTGAAAGCCATGCGAATAGCCAATCAACTTGCAACTCTACTGTAAAGGTACCATTTCATGCGCAGCATACTGCCGCAGCAACTCGCTGCTATTGGTTGAAGAATTGTTACTAGATGCTGCAAAATAAATTTCACCATATTTTGCTTCATCGCTGTGAAGTTCAATTGAACGAACAGCAAAGCAGCAGACACGCGATCTAGCCGGCCAGTGCTGCTGCAGCTATTCCTTTTCCGTGAGCAGCAAATATGCTGTAGTGAATTTGGATCACGTGACTAATTTGCTGCTGCTGCATGCTGCGTATGAAAAGGCACCTTAAGAGCAGAATATTCGCATACGTTTCTTCTTCGAATGAGTTCAAGAATCGAGCTGCATGTGCAGATATCGCATGTCGTACGTCGGATATCGGGTCCAGTGTAAATCCTGCATTACATTCTCCCGTGTTTATGCCCCCCACTCTTTTCATGTAAATAATCCTTAAGGTCAATCGTTGCTACGCATGCGCAGGCATTTTTCTGCCTTCAAGTAAAGCCCGCTGCAGACGATGCTATTTTTCCTGCTGGATTGCTTGCAATCTAATAAATTACTATCGTTGCACCATTCAGCACTCAGGATTCCTAGTAATTTAGTAAATCGCAAGCAATCCAGCAGGAAAAATAGCATCGTCTGCAGCGGGCTTAAGCCCGCTGCAGACGATACTATTTTCCCTGCTGGATTGCTTGCAATTTAGTAAATTACTATCATTGCACCACTCAGCATTCAGGATTCCTAGTAATTTACTAAATTGCAAGCAATCCAGCAGGAAAAATAGCGGATGTGTTCGAAAATGGATTTAGTTACTGCCAGTGAAAACAGTATAGTTGGTAGCAATGAAAATTACTGGTGCTGCGTTTTTCGCACGCCAGTAAAGTCAGTAAGGCTGGGTCTACATTGGATGTCGTAAGTCGAATAATGAACTGTGATTGGTCAATTTCTTCCGACACGACTTACGGCATCCAAT